CCAGGGGTAACCAATTAAAAATCAGTGGGTCTGAATAAAGAAAATCATCAACCAGTAAAGGTCTGGAGACATTTTTAATTATCTGTTATTTTACACAGAATTTAACACAGAAATAAAATGAGGTATGTATGCTTTCATGTCATACATTAAATAAAAAATAAAAAAAAGAGAAATTGCCAAAAAATGGCATCCAGTGCTATTTGAAAGGAGTTGACACTATGACTGTATTCCTGTATTTCCATCAGTAGTTAAAGGTCAAGGGTCACCAAATGCTAACCCTGTCTGTAAAACAATGACAGCGCAATTGTCGCTTTATGATCTTAAGCCTCATTTGGAGCTTTTAAACAGGCTTTTGAAAACTTTGATAATTTCCTGCTGTAATATTATAGATTTTTTTTTTAAGAATAAAAAGCTAGCAGATGTGCATAATTAAAAAATAACAGAAATACAATTATAGAGCATTAAGTATTGTAAGAAAGCCCACAATGTCTCTTAATAAATACATTGAGTACATGAGTTAAGTTCCGTTTAGTCTCTTTCCTTCTACTGTAATTATGAAATGTCTCATGCTCATGAATGCACCATAGCTATCTGATGCTCTTGAATGCATCACACTGGTCTGTGAATGTTGTGCTGTGTAGATGCGCGTTTGTTTTTCCGCTTACCGGTAAGACAAAGCTTTGCAGTTTCCAAACTCCCGTCGGCATCACTGTTTATTGTTGTGTGAATAACAAGAGACTAGAACAAATAAATCAGCCGTACCTCGGACAAAATCTTTGGATTTAATGTTGTTCATAACACCGGTACTTTTGGAAATTAATCTGCCAAATAACCACAATTTTTTCCCACAAGAGGAATATTTGTACAGACCAAGGCGTGCTCCCGCGACTGGGGATGCATATTTCGGCAGGCATGCGCTTTTTGTTATGCTCACCACCTCCCTCCACAGCGCTGACGTCACAGTCGTCTTTTAGAAAGTGTGGCTGATTGACAGGCTGATAGGATCATTTAGCTCCAAGGCTAGGCTAACTGCATGCGGCTAACTGCATGCAGCGCGCCTAACTGCATGCAGCGAGGCTAACTGCATGCAGCACGACTAACTGCACGCAGCGAGGCTAACTGCATGCAGCGAGGCTAACTGCACGCAGCGAGGCTAACTGCATGCAGCGAGGCTAACTGCACGCAGCGAGGCTAACTGCACGCAGCACGGCTAACTGCATGCAGCGAGGCTAACTGCACGCAGCGAGGCTAACTGCATGCAGCGAGGCTAACTGCACGCAGCGAGGCTAACTGCATGCAGCGAGGCTAACTGCACGCAGCGCGGCTAACTGCACGCAGCGAGGCTAACTGCACGCAGCGAGGCTAACTGCACGCAGCGCGGCTAACTGCACGCAGCGCGGCTAACTGTACGCAGCGAGGCTAACTGCACGCAGCGCGGCTAACTGCACGCAGCGAGGCTAACTGCACACAGCGAGGCTAACTGCACGCAGCGAGGCTAACTGCATGCAGCGAGGCTAACTGCACGCAGCGTGGCGAAGTACATGCAGCGAGGCTAACGGCATGCAGCGAGGCTAACTGCACGCAGCGAGGCTAACTGCACGCAGCGCGGCTAAGTACATGCAGCGCAGCTAACTGCATGCAGCGAGGCTAACTGCACGCAGCGTGGCGAAGTACATGCAGTGAGGCTAACTGCATGCAGCGAGGCTAAGGCTTTATTTTGCTTTTCCTGCCTCCTTTCTCAAAGGTCAGGATCTGATCCAGCATGGATAAAGACAGCTAGGACTGATTTAAAGCCCTTTGCAGAACATTTTAGAATGTTTTTTTGTTGTTGCATTCATGTAAATATACTGGTGTGATACCTTAGAATACGTTTAATTGGTTTTTGGTATACGTCTATTTTGAATATGTAACCCAGCCTGGAAAAAACTCCACCAGCTGCCACTGCTGCAAACATGTCAGAGCGTAGGAAGAGAATAAATGGTTAAAGTCATTAGCACTGTCATGGTTTTCATTTCATCTGACTCCCCATCGATACCAGACAGGTTTGGACAGTCAGGAAAAAAGAGTTTGGTTCTTTAGTCACCAAAAACCATCTGCTGCTTCTACTGCAGGTGAAAAGGAAGTATAATAGGAAGTAGATATTTTTACAACATTCCTTTCTGACAACAGGACAGGAACTGATCTAAAGAAATTCAAGAAAAGTTGAGAAAGAGGGTTGTTGTGACACAGCAAAGAGCAACAATTGCCTCATTTCCGCTAGTCCTCTGAAACTGATCCGTGCCGAGTTCGGACCCAGCTTGGATCAGTTAACCGCACCGAGCTTGGTTCTTACGAACATTTACACTTAGACCACAGACACTTGGACAGGTATGGGTCATTGCAGGCTAACAAAGAAGCCAAACGACCCCCATTCCAAAGGGGGGGACCCGTTCATCTGTTTCTATTTGCATGTTTTCTAAACTAAAACCAGGCTTTGTTGGGCTGCTGGATAAAACCTGGAACTAAACGCTATTTCTGACATTTTGGATTGAAAAATCTTCCTGGATGGAAGAGAAACGTCTTCAGACTTGGAAACAAAGTCTAGTGGATTGATTTTATTTATTTTTCTTATTTGTTTTGGATAGTTTTATTAATTTGTTACATTTAAAAAAAAATATTTAGTGTCTGGCCAGTATTTCTCTGTTTATTTAAGTTTATTTGTAAGTTAGTTTGTCCGTCAGTTGTCCCCCTTGTGTGTCAGCAGTGACCTGATCAGACACTATTTAAGTTTCCGTCATGTCTAGTTTGAGAAGTCAGTCTGTGCTTGAGTGCTTTATCACCGGCATTGAAGTCTGTTTGGTTGACTTCTTTATTTGAGCCCAATTTATCATTGTTTAAATCAATTAAGACCTTTTTGAAAATCTTCAGTGGTATTCTGGCTGGTTTATGCAGATCCCTCACAATGGGGCTTTTGTTATCAGAGAACCGAGCCATAGATGAACCATGCCGAGCCCAAATGTTGAACTAGTACTAGATTAAGCGGTTCGGATCAGTTTGCGTGCTATTCCCACTCAACAGTTATCTTGGTTACTGTGCTCAGACCGTTCTCGGCACGGTTTCAGAAGGCTTGTGTAAATGGGACTAAATTCACAGGCTTTCAGGGGAAGTCTGGTAGGAGCAAAGAAAAGCAACATGTTTTCACATTTCTGCAAAGAGAGACGTCACAGTCTGCATTCAGACGGACAGCTCAGATGGAAACTGAAGCTGGGGAGAAATTTCTGATTCAGAAGCAAACAAACTGCAGCATCATGGGGAGGTTATAGGCTTATGGAACACCGCACTGCAAAAATCAAAAGGGAAATTTGTGGATAAGTCTACTGGGCCTTAATGGGAGCAGGTAAGTAAAATGATCGGCACATAGAAGGATTTCTTTTGACCCTGAAAATGAGATAAATTTCAGTAATCAGATTAAACCCTTAAGCCCAGCAGACCCAGTAACAGGCCCGATTGACACCTTCTCATGATGATCTATTCAGAGAAATGGCCAAAACACAGTCGCATGGTGTTTCATCCACAAACCTTTCAAAACGGGGCTTTAAAATTTTTTTTTACAGTGTCCTGTCTGGCAATGTGGCAATAAGAATAATTGTCAAAAAGAGCCCAACAGATTTCACTTTCACAAGTGGAGCAGTACGGCTATCGCCATATTGCTCCACTTGATTTATGCATATAAATAGCTTTATTATAATTATGCAGGGAGTTTTACAGTTTATATGGACACTGCAATTTAAGTAGAACAGAAAAACAGAAAAAAAAGGAAAAGAGAAAAAAAAGAGAAAAGATGAAAGAAAGAGGAGATAGAAAGGAGACAATGACAAAAAAAATAAAAATCAGAAACAAATAAAATGAGATTTTAAATTCCACCTGACGTATGACTCTTTCTGGAGTAATGCAACAGCAGTTATTTATTTTTAGCCCCGCACCCTAATGGCCGCCATCATTGGAAACTAGAGGCTCTGACCTTTTCAAGGAGGGGTCAGAGGTCATTGTGAAACCATTTCAGGTAATATAACCGGCATGCGTTACATACGCTGCTCTGTTATTCCTATTTTCTATTTAGTTTAGTGATTTTATTGGTAAATTTCAATGAACCAACATCTAAACCTTAGAAGCAAAGGCTTTGTCTTATTCAGAAGGTCTCCAATAATTTAAATCCACATATTTATCTGATCAGATTCCCTTTTATGAGTGGAAAAAATGCATTTGGTACATTTTGGCCACTTTTGGCACCATTGTACCAAAATCCCATTTCCTCCTAGCAAACTGCTCACTAAATCCTTTGTGGAAATAACATGCTTCAATTTATTCAGTCCACATGTGGTTGAGTAATAGTCTAGATGTGGATCTATAAAGTCTGAGGGTTCATCTGAGTTTCTAATGGGCTTTATGGTGATTTTCTGTTTTTAGAAAGACTACATTTTTTTTTCTTTGTTTAATCTCCCATAAATCAGACATGATGATATTTAAAATAGAGGTTTCACCTGAAAAATATTCCTCATTTCCTTTCTTTCACAAAAATATAAACAATTGTATTTCCAATTTATAGTTTGGAAGCTGCACTTTAATACACGTCTGTATTTTCAGGCGGAATTTGCTCCTAAGACCCGTTGGGCTTAAACGGTTTAAGGAGATTTTTACCTTATTTAAGGTGCTAAATCTTTTCCTCCTCATTTTACTGAGATATTTAAATTAAGAGGAAATAAACTTATCCCCTCAATCATCCCCTCCATCTGCGGCACGGTGGAGGCTTTCATATAACAGCTCTTCTGCTTCGTAGCATCACTGAAGCTGTCGATGGAAAAGGAAATCTTCCTCTGGGCATTTAGGAAACGTCTCGCAGCAGTGGAATGATAGAACCTTAATGCTGCAGAATTTATCTTTTTATTCGTTTGTCTGATTGTGAAAAAGATCTTTGGCGCTAGGTGCTTAGGTGAAAGAGGCGTTAGGCTCCGCCCACTTACCCTGGTGGTTGTAGCAAACATGTACTTGTCTCGGAGCTGGAAGCTGTCCACCTGCTCCAGAATCACTTTCCGGTTCTGCTCGCTCTGGAAGAAGTCGGTGCTGCTCAGGACGGTGGAGACGCCCTGCGGCTCGTGCCTCTGGACCAGCACCGTGGTGGGGGGGTCGTACGGATCCACACCCCTGAGATGGTTCAAGGAAACAAAGGAAACAAAATCCATATCAGTTTTCAAATTAGTTTCCAATTAAAGCCACTTCTTTTCCTTTTTTGGGAGGGTTCTTTAATCTGAAAGTAAAGCTTTATTTTGGAATCTACTTTGTGGGCTCTGGCTAGAACAGTGCCAACCATAACCCCCCGCACTCCTTTCATCATATAGTGGGGAGTGCTGGCCTAGTGGTTAGAGCACATTGGGTCACAGAGGTTGGGACTTCAAGTCCTACACATTCCCACAGCCTCCACTCTGGGTCCCTGAGCAAGACCCTTAACCCTGGGCGCAGCACAACTTGCTTAACTTTTTATGTTAGACACCAGGAAACAACGGTACAACATTATTAACTAGGGATGCACGATATTGGGATTTTGGCCGATATCCGATATGCCGATATTTTAAAACTCATGTAGCCGATAACCGATACCGATACCGATGTTAAAGCTGGACAAAAATAAGTAGTCATTGAAAATAGCAGTTTTGTTATCCATTTCTGACACTTTGAAAAATAATATACTCAAATATATTTTCCTATGCTGATATCAAATAGATTTTTAAAAACGCGGTATCGATCTCTTTTACTTTCAAAATCTGGTGAAATTTCATCGTTCTGTTACAAACTCTCGTGATATTTTACAAATTCTTGTGAGATTTTGTTAGTAAAATAGATCGATACCGCGTCAATATATCAACATATAAAAATATGGCAACATTTGGTGAATTTTCGGGGGATTTCGTAGCATAACGATGACATATAGCAATATTTCATTAGTAAAAGAGATTGATATGGTGTTTTTAAATGGCAATATATCAGCATATGAAGATATTGGGATATTTTAATGGATCAATATTTTTTCTCTCGTCTTTAGAAGTTTTTAAGTCTGTAAAAAAGAAGTTTTTGAGGAAGAAGAAGAAGTTGTATTTTTATTTTATTTTTTTTAATCTTTAGAAACTCAGAAGCTGATCAAATGTCCGATATTCAGTTTTAAGGCCGATACAGGCCGATACCGATACGGGGCCGATTATATCGTGCATCCCTATTAATAACTGCTAACTTTATTAAACCTTTTATTTCAGCTGGAGTCGACAACCTCCTAAATTCTGTAATAAAACTCAGATAGGGCTGAAACAATCAGACCAATCATAATTCATCGATTTTCAGTAATATATTACTCATGGAGTGTAGAGACTCTAAAACATGCCTTTAACTAACAGAGCGACTAATTATACCAAAATTATAAAAATTAAATTTTTGCGTCCAAGTTAAAAAACTTTTTTTGTCTGTTAATATCCTCTAACCAGAACTCCTCATGTGGAAAATTTTAGTATCACCTGGTTTCATTTCATTGAAAAAACTCCTATAAGGAACCTTTGGCTATCTGATTATCAATCGATTAATCTGAAAAATAATTAACAGATTAATCGATAAGAGGAGCCCTAAACTGGGGGGGCCGCCTGTGGAGCTGGTTGACAGTTGCCTTTTGTATCTATGCTTCTTTTTCTATGTCTGCTATGTGTCTCCTTGAACCCCAGTGGGCCTCAGCAGATGGCCGCTCACACTGAGCCTGGTTCTGCTGGAGGTTTCTTCCTGTTCAAAGGGAGTTTTTCCTCTCCACTGTCGCTACAAGCATGCTTAGTGTGAGGGATTGCTGAAGAGTCAATGAGTCGATGGAATCAGCTGGTTTTCCTTAGATAGAAAACTTTGAATCAATCTGACTGGATGATCTGGTGAACTGGAAAGTGCCTTAAGGTGACATGATGTGAATTGGAGCTATAGAAATAAACTGAATAGAATTGAATTAAACTGGGAGCTACTCTGTTCTTCTGGGACTCTGTGCTTCACTAACGGGACACTTTCTGGTTGTTGTTGACGTTCTAAAGAGAAAGGATGAATGCTTTTGTCGGAGCCCAAACACAGGCCTGCCTGTCAGGCTATTTGTAGCCAGCAGAGAACGGCAGCCTTGGTACAGACAGTCATCCAGAATGAATGGAGGAATTTTACTGCATCCCACCGACAGATTTCCAAAGCAGCCTGTTGTCCTCCGCCGTCTGAAGAGCTAAACAGAGGGAGCATTGTCTGGCCTGGGCTCTGCCTCTCTGGCCTCCTTTCAACGATCTGCTCAGCTGGCACGCTGCGCCTGGACTCCCCATCAGCACGCCCTATCTGCTCCCTTCTCAGATCAACCTCACCTGCAGCTTACACGTTATGGAGAGTCTTCTCACCTCCTTTAGCCGGTTTCTATGTTCTGCCGATTCCATCAGTTCATTTAGACTTCCTGATTTCTTTCAGTCTCAAAGCTGCTTTTAGAATGGACCAACTAAAAAAAATCTAAGAGTTATTTACTCATTTCAAGGATATTTTCTATTATTTAGTCAATAATTAAACATTTCTATCCGTCTATAAAGAGTTATCAGCATAGAAGAAACTGCCTGTCAGCTTATACAGTCTGAAGTGGGGATTTTATATTTGAACTATGAATAAAGACGCTGCTGCAGAGGAAAACTGACTCCAAATCAGCTCCTTTTAGTGATGCTTTTTAAAACACAGGTATCACAGGTAACAGTATCTCGGGGTCTTGTTCACGAGTGAGCGACGGATGGAGCGTGAGGTCGACAGACGGATCGATGCGGCGTTGGCAGTGATGCGGTCGCTGTATCGGACTGTCGTGGTGAAGAGGGAGCTGAGACAAGGACCAATCACAGCTGCTTCCTGTCTGCGCACTTCTGATTGAGGTCTGCGGAGGTTTGTGACCGTCCGACGCGTAGTCAGGATTTTTTGAAGTGCGCAACAACGGTTGCAGAACCTCTGCAACCGTCAGACACATAAATTGGCCTTAAGAGTAAGAGTAATGCGCCCAGTGTGAACGCAGCATCAGAGTATTCAGCTTCGCCTTGCTCTGCTCAGGTCTGTTTGGGTGAAGCAACATTAGCCATGCAGGCTGCTGTCATCATCAGAACTAATTCATTTAGTAACAGAAATGTCTAATCTTGTTTTTTTCAGTCAAACAATTTTAACAACAATTGAAACAATTTGTTTAAATGTTCGTGATCTTTTCCTTTCAGCAAGATTTGTTTAACTTCCTGTGAGGAATAAGAGATAAGACCTTTGATATAAACAGAAACAAGCCTTTTCCTCCACGTCTGCATCCCAGAAGGATTAGGAGCTGATCCCGCTGTAGTTCAACCATCAGCTTCACACCAACGCTGTTTACACCGGAACAAACAGGATTAGGCCAAATTAGATAAAGCTGTGGGAGAGGAACGGTGTAGGATCGATCTTCTATGCTGCCTCGCTCTTAGGGAAACATCACTTTCTCTTCTCCGGTTTACAGATGTAGGAGTTTAGATTTGACTGGATTTATCAGATATTCGCCGGCTAATCAAAGGCGTCTAGTCAATTAATCTGAGACAGATTTCTACAGGGAGGCTTTAAAGGCACATTATCAACTAATTTATCTACAGGTGTTAGAGCTGCTAAAAATGTATGGATAAGGCCACTTTACTACAGCAGGTACATCGAGTACGACGCTTTTATTTGACAATATAAACATGAACATTTGAAACTTTTACCATCTATACCAGTTAAAAATCAGTCGGGGTCTGAATAAACAAAATCAACCAGTAAAGGAGACATTTTTAACTATAATCTGTTACTTTAAACAGAATTTAACACTGAAATAAAATAAGGTTTTTATGCACCCATGTTATACATTGAATTTTTAAATAAGAAATGCTTTAAAAAAGAAAATTTTTTCTTTATAAAATCAAATTTTTTTTTTTTAAATAGAGAACAACAATCGTTCAGTTTGGTTTATAGATAATTTCCTGATTCCCATATTTTCTCAAACCCCTGAACTGATTGTTTGTTTTTTTCTTTCTTTTTTCTGTCTTAATGTTGGCAGTGGGCTTTAGGCTGCCCTGCAAGGCTTTAAACCTGGGTTTAACCGGAGACTAAGCCGTTCTCAAGCACATATCAAGGAGCTCATTTTGAGCCTGGATCCAGATTTATTGTTGATTCTGTTCATGGTGGAGAATCCTGCTTCACAGCAGCAGGTTGAGCCAAACATCCTCTAAATGTGCAGGGTCATCTTTGAGCACGCCATTTCACTTTTCTTTCACCAGTTCACCGCAGTTCTTCCAGCAGTCCACACTTTCTCTGCTCTCTTTTTCTCATGGTCTTCTCCTTCTTTCCCATCGCCCGGCTTGCCACAGGTTTGCCTGCTGTGTCTAGAAGTAGCAGCAGCAGCAACCCAGACTGACAGCTCATTGGCTCATTTGGATCACGCGCAGCCTGGAGCCGGACGCTCCCCAGGGCTTTACCGTATTAACAGGAGAAGAGGAGCAAGTGAAGTTAGACACTGTCATCAGACAACATGCAGTAATTTATAAATGATTTAAATCAGGTTGGGTCCGGATTAGCCAGCAGGTGGGTCTGGATCCGGGCCGCGCTCCGCTAATCCATGACCTCTGATCTATAAAGACAGATCTACGGCTCCTCGGTCACCATGGTCTTTCTCAGTCAGATCTGGGCGTCAACTAACAAAGTACAAATACTTTGTTTCTTTACTTAAGTAGAAATATTGGCATCTCTTTCTTTTTACTCATTACATTTTCAAAATAGACTCGTTAGTTTAGTTTCATTTAAGCTAATTTTCATTATGGCCTGTTGGCCTATTATTTAACAAAAAATTAAATAATTTGTTTCATCCAGACAATTAATTTCTTTGTGGTTGGACTCGGTGCTGCCCCAACTTGTTGTTCACAACATACCAAAATAAATAGTTTTTCAAGGTGATGCAAAGTTAAATGTGACGCTGTTACCATTAGTTATAAAACTAAGAAAATGAAGTCTAAGGAAGTTATCGTCCAGAATTGTAGGAAAAATGTTCCTTTAACAGGGTAGAGCAGTAGAGCTTCTGGCCTTAACAGTTTTTTCCTGCATTACTTTTACTTTTATACTTTAAGTCGTGACTT